AGTTACTGAGTCTTCTTTGAATTGAAATAGGACATCCGGGTTTCACTGAGAAAATCAGGGAGTGGTGGGAGCACTATAATCCGCCAGTTCAGTGGGAAGGAATGAGGTTCCACAAAAAGCTTCAGTTCTTAAAATTTCAAATAAAGGAGTGGAACAGGTTGGAGTTTGGGAGAGTGGAGGAAACGAAACAGATGGAGCAGATAGAAGAATTGGATATGAAGGAAGAAGGGGATTTTTTGGAGAAGAAGACAGAGAGAGGAGATGGAGTTTAAGGAAGCAAATGGAGGATTTATTGCTTAAGGAGGAAATAAGCTGGAGGCAGAAATCTAGGTGTAAATGGTTAAAGGAGAGGGATAGAAACACGGGTTTTTTCCACGCACTGGCAAATGGTAGGAGAAAGAAGAACTTCATCTCAAAATTGGAAGTTGAAGGAGCAGTCATATCCCACCCGGTAGAAATAGCAGAGGCCTTTGTAAGTCATTTCAAATATATCTTCAAAAGGCCTTTAAATGAAAGGATTTGGATTGGTTGACTCTAAGTACAGAAAACAGAGAGTGGTTAGAAAAACGATTTGAGTTAGAGGAGATAAAGGAAGCAGTTTTTTCAATGGATGGAACAAAAGCTCTAGGTCTAGATGGTTTCACAATGGCTTTTTATCAAGATTTTTTGGATATTGTGGAGAAGGATCTAGGGTTAGTGTTTGAGGAGTTCCACAGAAGGAGATTAATTAACCTGGGTTTGAACTTCACATTCATTGCTCTGGTACCAAAGAAGAAAGAGGCATCACAACCAATGGACTTTAGACCTATTAGTTTGGTGAACGGTTTGTATAAAATAATTGCAAAAGTGTTGTCTTTAAGGGTAAAGAAGGTTCTTCCTACCATAATTGCACCTAACCAAAATGCTTTTGTGAAGGGAAGACAGATTACCGATCAAATCTTGATTGCAATTGAGAGTCTAGAGAGCTTTAGGAAATCCAAGAAGAAGGGAGTGATTTGCAAACTGGACTTGGAGAAGGCTTATGACATGGTTGATTGATCTTTCTTGTTGGAGGTGTTGAAAAGTTTTGGATTTGGAGACAGTTGGTGTAAATGGATTTGGGGCTATGTTAGGAGCTGCTACTATTCTATTTTGGTGAATGGAACTGTGGTGGATTTCTTCCTTGTCTCGAGAGGAATAAGACAAGGAGATCCACTATCCCCTTTTCATTTCACTATGATTACTAATGTCCTTGGGAGATTGATCCATAGAGCGGACTCAAGAAATTTAATAAAAGGCTGGAGAGTAGGAAGGGAGGAGGTACCACTTACACATTTGCAGTTTGCTAATGACACAATCTTGTTCTATGAAGGTAGGGACATCAATTGGATCCCGAATTTAAAATTGGCAATGCAACTCTTTGAGCAAATGTCTAATCTCAAGGTAAACTTGGATAAGAGTAGTATGGTGGGTGTGAATTTGAAGGAGAGGGAGTTAAGTGAATATGCAAGCGTGTTAGGTTGTGCTACCTTGGATTGGCCTATGATTTACTTAGGCCTCCCCTTGGGGGATAACCCTAACCTACCTGTTTACTTCCTATCAGTGTGTAAGATCCCCACAAAGGTTTCTAACATTTTGGAAAAATTTATGAGGGATTTCTTGTGGGAGCCTGGAGAGGAAAAGCGGGACCATAGGGTGAGATGGGAGGTGGTAACTAGATGTAAAAAACTAGGAGGTCTTGGGATTGGGAATATTAGGAAAAGGAACATGGCATTGTTAGGGAAATGGTTATGGAGGTTTCCATTGGAAAGAGACAAATTGTGGACAAAGATTGTGGCTAGCATACATGGGCTGGAAGACAATGGTTGGGAACCTGGAATTTTGGCAAGGGCTACATTGCCTCTCCTTGGAAAGCCATATATAAGTTGCTTCCAGTTTCTCCCCTTGGATCAGGTATGGTCTTCACTTTGGTAATAGATTAAAATTTTGGGAACAACATTGGGTTGGGGACTTACCTTTGATGGACCAATTTCCCTCTTTGAAAACCCATATTTTCCTTCTTAAGCCCTTCAAACTCTCCTTCTGGTTTTGGGTGGAACCTAGGTCTGAGAAGGGCAATTAGGGATACAGACTTGGGCCACATCATGTATTTGTTAGCCATCCTTGAAAATGTCTTCTTGGATCCTAATAAGGAGGACACCAGATTTTGAGTTCCTTCCTCATCAGGTATTTTCTCTTGTGCTTCATTCTTTGAGACATTATCTCAACCTTCTGATCCTATTGGGTTGTCCTTCCCGGTTAAAGAAATTTGGAGTAGGCTCATTCCTCCTCGGGTTGGTAGTTTTTGTTGGGAAACTTTCCTGGAAAGAATTAACACAAATGATCTACTTCAGAAAAAGAGACCCAATTCTTGTTTACTTCCTAATAGGTGTACTCTCTGTAAAGCTGATGGGGAAACTGGTTACCACCTTATGGTTATTTGTTCGGTTGCTAAGTTAAGAATGAGGATGGGGCTATCATTGCTATGTTCTCAGGCCCAATTGGAGAAGGAGACTCTCTTAGGCTGAGATTCTTGCAGCCCTGGAAGGTATCCAAAGAGCAAGGGAGTTGAACATCAGATGTTTGGTCCTTGAAGGTGACTCAGAGGTGGTGATTAGGTGGCTAAAGGAAGAAGACAGCGGTTTATGGAGTTATAACAATGAGAAGAAAAAACTCAAACGGCTGAGTAGGAACACTGTGTTGCATTATGGCTGGGTAAAGAGGACTGCTAATTCATTTGCTGATGGGTTAGCCAAGCAAGGGGTGAATAGGGAATCTATTTTTTGGGCTAACTTTTGACTTTCTTCCATTGTATTCTGTTGGTTGGGAGTTGAGACATTTTACCTCCCCTTTTGTACCTTAAGTTTCACATAGTTTGATATCATTAATAAAGTTTCTTGTTACTGATCAAAAAAAAAAAAAAAGAAATAGGATATGACAGTTTAGTTTGAGGCCTACTAGGATTATTATGAGTCACTGTTTGACTCCTAGGACTGTTATTAGTCTAACATTTTGACTCCTAGGATTATTATGAGTTTAGAGTCTAAGGCAATGAAGCTTATTGAGTTTTCTTCAGCTTATGCTAATTATGGTGACTCCCATACCCTAGAGTGATTCTAGGCACCCTGTGAATGATTCCAGGTATTTTCTCTCGTCTTTCTCTCTCTATTTTCTTTCTTATTCCTTTAAGAAGCCATTACAGCCATCAATAGCCATAAATTTCTGATCAAAGAAGATCATTCAACATTCTCTAAGGACTAGAATTGAGCTGGTCCTACATCAATGTGTCATAATGAAATGAGGTTTGATTAATGTAACTCCCTGGCATCAAGCAGCCTATAGTAATCAATTTCTTTTAAGAACAGAAAAAGTGATATATCATTAAAGAAAATAGAAAACATGTACAACAAACTGCTGTACACATATACAAAACACTGCCCAAGCAGTCCTACAGTAATTAATTGTGTGACCTCACAATTAAAATGTGTCCAAAAATGTACTCCATGTAAGTATTTATCAAAAAATAAGTTCACTCCATGTCTATACTAATCCAATGGTTTGTCCCATTAAGTCACAATGAGTACAAAATCTATTATTTTTTGCCTTCACATGCCTATGACCAACACCAACCATTGGGTCACCTTGACTTCCAGTAGGACCATGTCCTCTAGCGATACCACAATTCCTAGATACTACAAGAGAATACTGGTTTGTTATAGGTATAAGGTAAACTAGCTTGCTGAAGTTGGGAAAAAAAAAATTCCTCCAAAGGTGGTAATGCTAGGCTGCTCAAGATCTTAGACCAGACTTGTTCATATTTAGACTTTGCTTCAACTAAAAATTTTGCCATATACAAGTCCTTTCTGTGCTGTTCCTTGACTGTAATCTCTGAGGTGATTGATTGATAGATATTTTTTTCCTCCCAATCCCATCATCTATGAAAATATTTCTCAAGAGTCTTATCTCCCTGCTTTAAACTAAATTCCAAAAATTGGTAGATGCTAGTGCTTGAATATAATCTCCCCGTTAATATTTACAATAGGATGTTGATCACATATTTTAATCAAACAGAGACCCTCAACTTCATGTCCATACCCAAATTGTCTTCCTCATAGCCAAGTCCTATGAAAGACAATGAAATGAAGTTGTATTGCAGTTCAAAGACTTGGTCAAGACTTAAGAACAGGAACCAATTAACCACCTACTAATGTGAGGAAGCATAGAGTTCTTTTCCTCCCACTTCTCATTAATATTTACACTGACCTGGTTCTCGATAAGGCTGACTGATTCCATTCAAATCTTTATTATTTTTTGATACATGGGTGATATTTAATTAAGCATAGAATAGAAAAACTGTACAACCAACCTAAAGGGAGGCACGACCGCACAAGATGTTACCTCCCTTTAGAGTTAAACAAGTAAACACATTCTATCCTGAATTACAATTATAAGGTAGCTGAAAACAGGTCAGCTTGATACCCCTTGTTTAGCCAAAGAGTCAGTGATGGCATTTTCTGACCTGTTAACCCACTGAAAACTAACTGACATGTTCCTTGTAAGCCATTGAACTTTCTTTAGAAGATTCCTGTAACCCCAATAAATTGTTTCTGGGTTTGACAGCCAGTCTACTACCACCTTGGAGTTCCCTTCAACTATCAAGTTCTCCACTCCTAGTTGACTATATGCTTGTATTCCTTGTACGGTTGTACCACAGCTAGTATCTCTGCCCTTGTAGAGTCACCAAATCCCATTGGTCCTGAGAATAAAGATATGATGTTGTTGTCCTTATTTCTCAGAATCCCTCCTATACCCGAGGGCCTTGGATTACCTTGACTGCTTCTGTCAAAATTCAGTTTTACCATTACTTCCGGGGGAGGTTTCCATTCTGCTTGTAGAGTGTTCTTTGTGGGAGCTGTGGATGCCACTGCTGTCCAATTTATCCTTAAACCATCAAAGGAATAGTTCCCAAACAGATCTGAAGTTTTCAGCCATGAAGTTGTCCTTGTCATGATACACTCCTTTACTTCATCTAGGTTTCTTTCCTTTTCTTGGAAGATTCTTGAATTCCTCTCTTCCAAAATTGTCCAAAAACTAGATGCTCTCATACACTTCCACATTAAAATCCCTCTTTTTGTCAGCTGTCCTAAGGCATGTGGTTCAAAAAGCAGCTATACTTCAGAGGGTAAGTTCCACCTGCACCCAAATAGCATTAAAATCTAATTCCAAATATTAGCAGCAAAAGAACGTGATATTAGCAAATGGTAACAATCCTCGCTCTTCACTTAACACAAGATACACCAATTTGGGGATAAACACATTTAAGGTTGTTTCTTTTGTAGGTTTTCCAAAGTATTGATCTTACCGTAATAGGCTTCCCAACAGAAAAAGTTATTTTAGGAGGAATGGCCTTGACTGGATTTCTTTAACTGGGAAAACCTAAGAGGAGGGGTTGGGAGTTGGAACAAAGGGATTTAAAGAAAGAGGCACAACTGAAGGAGCCACTTGGTGTTAGAGTCCAAATCCTTTTATCAGATGGTGGGATCAAACACACAATTTAGAAGAAGCAAGAGTTCAGAAACACAAGTAGATTTCATCATCTCTTAAACCTCTACGGAAACTGAAATCCCAGTTTAAAGCCAACGGGAGAACTGGGGAGGGGGGGGGGATCTTGAAACAGGTTTCTTAATAAGCTGTTGCTTCCAGACCTTCTGAGCTCTCTTTTCAATATAGACACAGAACTGTTATGTTTGAGACTTCAATAAATCTTACTATTCACTGATAATAAAACTGTTATGTCTGAGACCAGACTGGGTCACTACTAACCCTCCAACACTAAAATACCAGAACCTAGAGAGCTGTACAGCCTTTTTTGTACGGCAATGTTGATATCAAGCCTCCACCAAAAATGATCTAGTAAGTCAAAACAAATATATTGAATTACCAGGTCATACATATTCAACAACCAATTGAGCAACTCTTATATAGGCTTCCTGAGCAGAAGAAACACTGTTTAAAAACTAACAAATTGGTGTGGTGGTAAATAAAGGGACATTATCCAATCCTGGTCTTGGGAGGGGTAGACTCAGATACATGTTCTCATGCTTGGTTAACCTAGATTTTAGCATAGCACCAAGCAATGGCCCGTGGATGTAGGAGTAATTATCAACTGAAAAATGCTTCACCAGAACTTTGAAAAAACGAAGGTTCATATATGTATCTTCTATGCAGGTTGAAAGATATATTTATGTTTTGTAATGCATTACTAGTGAGCATTCTCTATTGATCTGAAGTTAATGAAGTTTATTTCTTTCCACTGATTGAAGGAACTTTCTTCAACCAAGTCAAACATACAGCAAGAAATAGCTTCTTTTAAGCAGAGATTGTTCTTCATAGACAAGAGAGGCCCAGAGCTGGATGCAGAGAAAAAAGTCGCTGCCACTGCAAGAAATTTCAAGGAGGCTGGACGCCTAGCTGCTGAAGCAAAGGCACTGACTGTTGAAAAGGAAGGCATACAGGCTAAGATGCAGACGGCTACTCTAGAGCTTGAGAAGATAGAGGAAGAGGTTAATTGTACTGCCACTGGGCTCCAAGAGACTGAAGCTCTGATCTTATCCAAGGAAAAAGAGGCAGCAATGGCAAGGTGTGGGAGACTACGCTTAGTTGCTGGTGCAGCTATGGCGGAAAGTTCAGGAGCTATAGAATTAGGTGACCTTGAAGAAGCTAATATTTTAACCACAGAGGCTGAAGCGGCAGACTGTGAAGCAATCAAACTTCAGCAAGCTTATGATTTCAAAGAGGATGAATTTGGAAATCTACCAAAGCACTTCATCTCCATGGTACTCGTCACCAATCTTGGTGGAAAAGAGTTGGCTGAAATGGCAAAATCGGTTCATCTTTCTCCCTCGTGAGCGTCACTGTTACAGTCATTTGGATTTGGGCAATAGTTGGAATTGGAGTAGTAGCGCCAGGTGGCAAATTGCATAGTGGATATTTTATTCTTTCCTGGTCATTGATTCTTTTGAACATGGTGCTTTATGTAACCACTCCATCTTCGTCAACGAAATGTTTCCTTGTTTAGTTTTAATTGCCTTTTCAAGTTTGTGTAACATGGGCCTAGTGGACTTTGGCTTTTACCAGAAGTTTACAATGAAATTATTTGTGCCTCTGCATGCAAATGTTCAATTCCACAAAATTTGGAAAAAAGATGTTCTACTGCTGTCATAAGCATTAAGTAAGGATTCATAAAATTCTCAACTCCTGTACTGGCCAGTGTCCAGGCCCAGAGCTGCTGCACTAAGCAATCGATGTGTGACAACCAGTGCTCCTTTATACCTGAATTTTAAAGTAGCCTAGCCTTGCAGATCTGTCACGCGAGGCGAGATAGGATTAAGCCAATTTGTGTTCAGCAGGCCGTGGTATTTGGATTTAATTTTTACGACCTGCATGAAACCAAACGCAGGTATCCGCCTTGATAGATAATATAACTAATTTAATGTCTTCCATCCTAAACTTGTCAATGGTTTAAACGGTTCATCAATTTGAATGTCCAGGTCAAGTTTTTTTACAAAATTCAATGGCTTTTGGAGATATCAGGTTCAGAGTAAAACGACCTGTACTCAGGTTGAAACTTGAAAGGTCGGCGGCGGTCAACAATGGGTTGTAAACATTGACTTGTACAAAAAGCCCCACCCCTCCCCCCACTTGTAATTCGCTCATCCAAATTCAGTGAAGCTGAAGTTAGGTAATGTGGAGATGGATCTTTTCAACGTAAATCCAGATGAAGGAAAATCCTTTAGATTAATGATTGGGGGATTGGCCGGAAATCAGATTATTAGGGAACTGGTGGTCAAAGACCCTTCTCTTGCAAACTTTTAGTTAAAAAAAAAAACGAAACGAAATGGAAGGCAATCAATTATCAGTATAATTTCCTTTGCCAAAGTGAGGTGGATTTGTGTAAGATAACTTCGAGAGGAATAGGACTTATCGACCAAGATCTCTTGCTAATGGATCATAGGATTGTAACTTTGGCGGTTTCAGGTTGAGCATCTGTTAAAATTTGAAGGAATATAATCTAAACCTTCCCTTTTATCTTTCTTTTTCTTTTTTTTTTTTTTTTTTTTTTTTTTTTTTTTTACATACACGTACACTTAGGGGTGTAAAATCGGTCAGTTTGGTTAGAGTCGATGACCTAATCGACAATTCAGTTTGACCATCTCTCCCAACCAAACCAAATCGATCCTAACCAAATTCAGTTTGGTTCGGTTCGGTTTTAATAATTAATAATTAGTTTAGGTCTTAATGAACAATTAATAAAACTACAATACACTCATTTAATGATAAATTTAATGACTAATTATTAAAACAACAACACCCATTCTTCACAAATAATTAATAATTAGTTTAGGTTTTAATACTTTAATTGTTTAGAGGTCCTAGACAATTAATTAACTATTATTAATTAAAAGCTAGAATAGGCCTAAAGCCCTAAAGCACAATGAGGAATTGCAAATTGGCCATTGGAAAAGATAAATCTGTACTACTTTAAAAAGCTCGAATGGCCTCAAGAATATTTCTGAAAATTTTTTAGGACAAAATTTACCTTTCTATATTTAAAATTATTGATGAAAAATGGGGTAAAATACAAAAACCTCCTTTGAAGTTTCTAACAATCATAAAAACCTCCCCTATAGTTTCATTTTAACAAATATCTCCCCTGAATTTTTGAGAAACTCAACAAAAACCTCCCTTCTGTCATTGTCCCAGACGGAAAACGTTAGATTGATGCACCAGTTTTTTTTTTTTTTTTTTTTTTTCCGAATATCCATTCTACCATTTTATAAATTATTTTACATACAAAATTACTGAAATAATCCCATTTTAACTCAACAAAAAAACATATTTCAGCAATTTTGTATGTAAAATTACTGAAATGATCGTTAAAAGAGGTTTTTGTTGGTTTACTTCATTTGTAATGGTTTTGCATGTCTTAATTTACTTCATTTGTAATGCAATCAAATAAAATAAGCTAAAACTTGAAACAAAAATAGGTTAGAATTTACACTCAAATCATTTACACTGCCATGATTTTTCATCAATACAAATTTATTTGCATTGCAACCAAACACAGCCTAGACTTAAATTTGGAAGAGTACAAATACAAACATATACAATATAAATGCATACAAAATACAACGTTTTATACTATATATTTATATTTGTATTCCTCCCAAACTGAGCCTAAGAAACGACGAATGCAACATTTTTATTTATATTTTGAAGATGTTTTGAAAATTTGAAGAACAATTAATGAAGGATAATATACATTTCAATCTTTTTATGCATAGTTAATGTCAGTATAGTTAGTCAATTTCGCAAAATCCAGGGGGTAGCTCAAGTATTTTACCCTAATCTTTTCATATATACATGAATTTTTGTAGTTGAAGATGAGAGAAATTCTACACATCCAAGTTGGGCAATGCAGCAACCAAATTGGTTGCAAGTTCTGGTAGGTTGTTAGGTGTTAAATTTCTCCCTATTTTCAGCTGTCTATATTGATGCATGACGCTTAGATATAAGCAGGTAACATGGACCCATATGTTATCCTCACTGCTGGCCATACTTAGGAACGAAAGAGCACTAGAGCAGTGTTGCATCAGGTCCATTTCTTACCGCTCTGAATTATTGGATGCCTCTATTGTGCTGTTTTCCTTTTCCTCAGCGCGTGTTTGTACATGTGTCTCTAGGCAACCAGAGTCTGTCTAAATATGTACATCCTCGAGTTTGGAATGCACATAATGACTTGATAGAACAGTGGAACCTGGAGACTGGAGTAGAATACCATTACATTATTACAATAACAATCACAAAAGCAAGCTTTCTAGTTTCTACAACTCAATTGATGTGTTTTTTACCAAGGCTGTGTTTGGTTGTAGTGCAATTTTATTTGCACTAGTATAAATACATGGAAGTGCAAATGAAAAGAATATAAAATAAAAATAAATCATCATTTATACTGCCATGGTTTTGCATCAGTATAAATAAATTTGTATTGCAACCTGATGAGGGCGGATTTGGCCCTCTAGTGATATTGTGACGCATGGCACCTCGGAACAACTAGGTGACACCCGGAACTAGTTAGGCAACAACTTGCCTTAGCCATGTTGATGGTGTCCCACCTGGTGGCCTGGCCCAGGTATGAACTGGAGGCCTGGCCCAGGCGCTGACCTGGCGACCTGCGAGACGTGCTTGCCGAAAAATTCGGCATGCATATCCTAACACTCCCACGATTCTTGGAAGTTGGTCCACGTGCCGAATGATCCGGAGGGTGGTCAACGTGCATGGTGGTTGCCTCAGGGAATCTCAGACCACTTAGATTTCTCAGAAATCTCGGATGCGGTGTGTGAAGCCCACGCCAAACAATGCCTATATAAAGGCACAAACCCCAATGGAATAGGGGGGCAAGTAAGCATATTTTAGTTCTCATACTTTGTATTTTTTAGCTCGTAGTCTACTATGAGAATACTAACTTAAGCATCAGAGCGACCTCTCCGGGTTAGCCACCCTGGGTCCTCTGACATTGATTTCTTACAGGTCTTTAAAGAACTGCGAAGCCCAACAATCAATCCAACTCGCCACCAGGTAGCTCGACACTCTAGTCAGCTCGGCAACTAATAGGCAGCTCGACCCTCTGGTCAGCTCGGCACCTAATAGGCAGTTCGACCCTCTGGTCAACTTGACACCTAATAGGCAGATCGGCACTCTGGTAAGCTCGTCACCTAACCTGCCTAGCTCGACACTCTAGTCAGCTCGGCAACTAATAGGCAGCTCGGCACTCTAGTCAGCTCGGCACCTAATAGGCAGTTTGACACTCTGGTCAGCTCAGCACCTAATAGGCAGATCGACACTCTAGTCAGCTCGTCACCTAACCTGCCTAACTCGGCCCAGTCTGCTCGTCACCTAACCTGCCTAGCTCGGCCCAGTCAGTTCGGCACCTAACCTGTCCAGCTCGGCCCAGTTAACTCGGCACCTAATCTGCCCCCAGTTCGGCGTGGTCAGATCGACATCCAGGTCCTCATCCAGCAAAATTTCACTTCGGCCTCTGAGTCATCATTCACTTAGAAGCAGACCAAATGACGAGGTATTTAACACAAAAAATTGATACATCACCAAAAATTGATTCATCACAACCAAAATAAAACCTGATCTATTTATCTATTTACTATATGAAAAGAAAAATAAAAAGCAAAAAAAGAAAAGAACTTGGAGAAAATATTGACAACCGCTACAAGAATAATACTATATTAACAAGCAGACGTCACGATTTACAAGCAAGGAAACGGAAATAGAATGTTCTTCATGTAGCTGAAATATGCACTTCAATATGATCTGCTGCCAATTGGGATACATTCTGGACTTTGAAGTATCACCAGTTACTCATTTTCCAAATTTCAACTCTGTATCTTATGCACCAAATTATATAACATGATAACGCTATTAAAAGAGCTGAACCAGAATGGAATGAGAAATATGTCTGCACTGTTTCTGAAGGCGCTACAGAACTCCACATCAAAATAATATATGCAAAGTGATAGCGGTACTGGGAGAAACAACGTCAGCAAAAACTCTGCGTGCGTTGTTATTTATTTTTAGCTAATTATTTGGTAATATGCTTTTTTTTTCTTGATTTCTTTTGAAGGGTTACAAAGGGTAGTCCATCCCCAACCCAGGTGGTGCAGGCAGGATTCGATCCAAAGCATGGTTTTTGAATTGCTATTGACCCGGATGGTTGAACCATTTAGTCAATGACCCATTAATTTGGACAGTCGAACTGTCAAGCCATTTAATAGTTTTTAGCTGTTTTTTATTTTTAATTATTTTTTAATTTTTTTATCAGAATAGATCGTCTGTTTAAATCAAACAGTCGAACCATGAACTAAAAAACAGATAGTCAAAATGATTCCATTTCCAAGTCGTTTTTTTTAAAACCATGATCCAAAGTCTCCACTACTATCTCATGCTGTTTCCACCGCAATGGTACTTTGCGCACCTACTATGAACATCTCTCTTTCTCTCTTCTATGCACATACATACGTATATATACTGAGATTTTATCACATAAATAATTAGCAACCAAAATAGATGAAATCACCTAACTCCAAATATTTACAAGGGGTAT